AGTCCTGGCACCCCGGGGTGCCCCCAGCTGCCACCCTGCCCTTCCCCATGTCTGACCCCACTAACGCTGCCCCAGCCGTCCCCTCCCATCCTCACTAACTGCTGCTTTCTCTTCTCTGCGCCCTGTGCCGTGTCCTCTGCCCACGTAAGTGTCACTAACCCAGGGCCAGTGCTCTGCTGGGGTGGGGGGACGGATGCTGGGGTTCACCTGGCTGAGCCAGGAGGGGTGTGGGGATGAGGCTGGAGGCCACAGGGATGGGCCACGGGGTGCTGGGGCAAGGAGGTGGGGGGGCAGATGCCTGGGTCCTTGCCCAGCGGGGCGAGGGGTGGGGGCGGCTCCCGGGGGGCACGGGCTGCCGGGCACCCCTGACATCTCCCCCACGGCCGGCCCCAGATCGAGTACTGCAGGAAGGCCATGGCCAGGACCAGGGTGAAGTCCTCCATCTGCCTTGAGGGGTGAGTGGCCGGTGGCTGCCCCGGCCGTGGGCAGGGTCCCCGCTGGTGTGACCAGGCACCGGCATCCCTGCAGCTGGCTACTGGCACCGCGGCGCCCGTGCTGCTGGAGCCCTCAGCAGGGAGCAGAGCCGAGGCTCCGTGGTCATCACAGAGCCCGAGCTTGTCCCTGCCCTGTCCCTGTGGTGGCTGGGGCCGGTGGCAGCGGTGGAACGGTGGCCCCGGCCGCCTCCAGCCGCCGCTCCTGGCAGGTACATCAAGTTCAACGAGCAGTACGTGCCCCACGACCCCATCATGTCTGGCTGCCTGCCCAGCAACCCCTGGATCACAGACGACACCACATACTGGGCCATGAATGCCCCCACGTAAGCATCCACGCAGGGGCTGCCCCAGTCCCCCCACCCGAACCTGCAGGATGGGGTGCGGGGTCATGCCAGGCAGCCGTGGGCTGCCCGTTGCCAGCCCCCACACCGGTGCCACCCGCAGGGGGCCGACCCCCACGAAGCTGCGTGTGGAGCGCTGGGGCTTCAACTTCAGTGTGCTCCTCACCGACCCCCTGGGCCGGGCGCAGCTCCTCGATTTCCTCAAGAAGGAGTTCAGCGGTGAGCGGCCTCAACCCCACACCCCTTGACCCAATGCCCCCTCTCAGCACCCCCAAATTCATCGTCCCATCCCAGCACCCCCAGCCTCACCAACCTGTCCCAGCACCCCCAGACCCACTGCTGTGTCCCAGTACTGCCTGACCTGCCGTCCCATCCTGGCATCTCTGCGCCCACTGCCCCACATTGCACCAGCTGTGTCCATCCCAGGGGCTTTGGCCCCACAGTTGGCTGGGCTGTGGACCCAGCAGTGATGGCCTGGGGGCCACGTCCCCATCTCCAACTCCGTATCCCCCTCCCCAGCCGAGAATCTGAGCTTCTGGGAGGCGTGTGAGGAACTGCGTTATGGGGAGCAGTCCCGCATCCCTGAGATCGTGGACTCCATCTACCAGTGAGTGCCAGCAGGTCTGGGGGGGCTGGGGTTTGGGGGGTGCCAGGCCATCACGGTGCTACGTCCCACTGCGGGGCTGGATGCTTACCACCAGCTGTGACTCCCCAGGCAGTTCCTGGCTCCCGGGGCCACGCGCTGGGTGAACATTGACAGCAAGACCATGGAGCGGACGCTGGAGGGCATCAAGACGCCCCACCGCTATGTGATGGACGACGCCCAGATGCACATCTACATGCTGATGAAGAAGGTGGGCGAGGGCAGGGCTGGGCAGGGCAGGGTCGGGCAGGAGCCTGATGCCTCTGCTCGCCCAGGACTCCTACCCGCGGTTCCTCAAGTCGGAGCTCTACAGGAACCTCCTGGCTGAGGCCATCATCCCCCCGGAGACCAAGAAGCGGTGAGGGCAGGGGCTGAACCCCTGGGGTGCTGGGGTGGGCCCTGCCGGCGCTGACCCCGCTCTGCCCGCAGGGTCTTCCCCTTCATGCGCAAGCAGCGGC